ATAGAACTAAATCAAAGAACATTAAGTTAATCAAATTTCCCTGAAGGCAATGTAATCAAAAAAATAGGGTTCCAAATTTTGAACTTGAAGGAAAAATATAGGATTCCTCCAAACGACTTGCAAGGCAGAAAATGGACTGAACAACGGGTACTTTACAGGAAACTGCTTGCAGAACAACAATGGTCGTCCAACCCTGGTACGGATGAGCTTGAGTCTCAGACCTCATCAACACACCATTTCTTGAAATGACCCCAGATCCCGCTTACGAGTTCCATTGCATCCAGTGAGGACGGAACAATACCCCCAGGACACATGAACCCTCGGTAGGTGATGGCACTCAACACATCCTTTGCGGGGGTTCACCTAAGAGTTTTAAAACATTTCCAGAAGATAGAATTCGCCCAGCAAACGAAACCGAAAAAAAAGAACCTTCAATAAACTTAAATAAAAGAAAACAGTTCCAAAGAACATCTTTAAGCTCTCCCTAGGAAAACAAAGACTTCAAAGGAGAAATAACCAATGCGAAATCCGAACAAATCTCAAAGCTCCAGAAAAAACAAAGGATCCAAAACAAAAACCGGAAAAATATGCGTTTCAAAAATGCTGAATTCTTTTCTTATGTGCGGAGCTCTAAGAAGTAAAACACACCTAATATTGCGCAACTATTATGGTTGCAAACAAGATCTGGTCGTTCCAAAAAGTCACTTCTAGAATAACTCTGAAAAAAGAGAGTAAGGAAAGTACCGAAGAAAAACACAGTTTTTGGATGTAAAACATCTGAGGTTTCCTCAAAAACAAAACAGTAACCGAGAATCGACAACACTAATCCTTGAGAAAATCTGATCCAGAAAGTCAAAAAGCATGAACAAGAGAAACAACGCAGGCCCTGGCCCACGGAAATTTAAAGTCCCCCAAAGAAAGGAAGCCTATAAAATGAAGGCCTTTATCCGCAAAAACAAACACAATTCAACAACAAAGGTATTTAGAGTCAAGTGTTCCAGAAAAAAAGGCATCTCTGAGAAATCCAAATATTTTGTTCATCAAAAAATCACAGCAAAAAAAAAAAAACGAGCAGTTCCGGAAAAGGGCACGACTCATACTTTTTCGGGCCAAACATTACGTCAAAAAAAGTATGGGTTCCAAGGTTCCAACAAAAAAATGTATGAGTTCCAAAAAAAAGTTCCAAAAAAAAAGGAATTCATATTTTTTGGTGCCAAACATAGTGCCAATAAAAGTATGGGTTCCAAAAAAAGTATGAGTTCCAAAAAAAAGGACCTCATACTTTTTTCGGGCCAAACATAAGGCTCCAAAAAATTGAGTTCCAAAAAAAAAGGAACTCATACTTAGTTTTTTCGAGCCACACATTGTGCCGAAAAAAGTATAAGTGCCAAAAAAAAGTATGAGTTCCGGAAAAAAAGGAACTCATACTTTTACGGGCCTAACATTGCACCAAAAAATTATGGGTTCCAAAAAAGAAATTCATAGTTTTTCGGGCCAACATACTGCCAAAAAAAGTATGGGTTCCAAAACAAAGGTATGAGTTCCAAAAAAAAGGAACTCATACTTTTTCCGGGCCCAACATAGTGCAAAAAAAAGTATGGGTTCCAAAAAAAAAGGAACTCATACTTTTTCCGGGCCCAAGATAGTGCCAAAAAAAGTATGGGTTCCAAAAAAAGTATGAGTTCCAAAAAAAAAGGAACTCATACTTTTTTCGGGCCGAACATTGTGCCGAAAAAAGTATGGGTTCCAAAAAAAGTATGAGTTCCAAAAAAAAAGGAACTCATACTTTTTTCGGGCCGAACATTGTGCCAAAAAAAGTATGGGTTCCAAAAAAAAAGGAACTCATACTTTTGGGTACTTTTTTGCCGGTACTTTTTTTTCTGTTTGAACTGAAAATCAGTTCAAACAAACAAAAAAAGTACCGGCAAAATCCGTTTTTCCAGGTACTTTTTTTTTTGTTTGAACTGATTTTCAGTTCAAGCAGAAAAAAAAGTACCGGCAAAAAAGTACCCAAAAGTATGAGTTCCTTTTTTTTTGGAACCCATACTTTTTTTGGCACAATGTTCGGCCCGAAAAAAGTATGAGTTCCTTTTTTTTTGGAACTCATACTTTTTTTGGAACCCATACTTTTTTCGGCACAATGTTCGGCCCATACTTTTTTTGGCACTATGTTGGGCCCGAAAAAGTATGAGTCTGAGTGTCCATTTTTTTGTAACTCATACTTTTTTTGGCACTTTTTTTTTGGCACCCATACTTTTTTTTGGCACAATTTTTGGCCCGAAAAAATATGAGTTCCTTTTTTTTGGAACTAATGTATGTTTTTTGAACCCGTACTTTTTTTGGCGCAATGTTTGGCCCGGAAAAATGAGATTTCCTTTTTGTTGGAACCCATACTTTTTTTGGCAGAACGTTTGGCCTGAACATGTATGAGGTAGCGTTTTTTCCCGGAACGTTAAGTTTTTTGAAGTGCTATGTTTTGATGAAATAAATGTTGGGAATTCTTAGAGATTTTTTCCAGGACTCTGACTGTAAATAACCTTGCTGTTGAATTGTGCTTTTGTTTTTGCGGATAAGTGGTTTCATTTCATATATATCCTCTGTTTGTGGAACCCGGTTTTTTTTGCCAACGCGTGATGCTTTTTGCTTGCGTACTTTAGGTTGCAATTCCAAGACTACTTTTGCTTCCGAACTCTAGGTTAATTTTTGGACTGTTTTTTATATATGATATTTATTGTTTCTGGGGGTTCTTTTCTTCTGGGATTCTCAATTCTTTGAACCACAATAGTGGTTTTCTGGACTGATACTGTTTCCAATTCTTGAAGTTCATTCCCTTCCGAAACTGCACGGTTTTTTTGGAATGTGTTTTTCCTTAGGTTTTATGTTTCATTTCCCATGGTTTCAAGTATGAACCCTGACAATTTCGTGGAATTGTTTAGTGCTGTATCTTGCCTTTTTTGTTTCAAATTCTTCGATCTACTTATTTAAAGATTCTCAGAAGTTACAGTGTTATTTTTTTCCTTGGGATCCGTGTTTGCATTTGGGGAAGTCGAAGATTTTCGGCTGAAATCGTATTATATCCTTTTTCTTGATACCTTCTGCTTTGATTTCTTTGTTTTTGTTGGGGGTCGGAAACTTTTTCGGAGCTGCATGTCTGCTTTGCATTGCTTGAACTTCTTCCTTTTTGAGAACCCTTACAGGCCCTTACAGTATTCACTAAGCGGATCTTTTTCTGAAGATTGGTTTCCTGAAGGTTCCTTGTTTGCGTGAACTCTGAAATATTTCAACTGCAAAGGCATGTTTATTGAATTTTCTTCTTCACTATAGGTTTCAATGGTGTTGTCTTAAAGGTCTTTGTAAATCCATGTTTGTTTCCTTGGGTGTGTCATGCTCGGTTATTTTGTTTTTTTCAAACTCCAGAGTGTTTCTCTGTGATATTCATGTTCAGATTCACTCAATTTGTTTTTAGACAACACATTGATTTTTCATCGATGTCCAATTCTTAGAGGTTTGCTTTTTTACCGCAAGAAAGCTTTGGCTGGCTCTCCTTTTCCGAAAAACATGTCGCCGTCTCTTCTTCGGCTTTTTTGTTGAACCCTAAGACTATCCCAGCAGTGCCCAGCACTAATTCGTTTATAGTTTCTGATTTATTTTCCCAAAGCCAAACTCATTCCAAATGAACCCCTATTTGTTGGATTTTGATTTCGGAGGAACCCTGAGGTTTGTTGATGGTTCTCGTTCTTTCCCAAAAATTGTTTTCTGGAATCCACCAGGGAAGCGTGACGCTGTACGACCTTGTTCTGGTAGATGCTAAAAAGATGCATTGCCATTGCGTCTAAAGTAATATTTACCCGTTGTTCCGTCTCAAGTGGCCCTATGCTTTGAATGTTTTTAAGTTTTTCTTCGTGGTGCTGAACCACCTAGCAAGTCCAATCTTTGCAAACCACACTACTCCCGATCCACTTCAAGTTGGGACACTTCTTAAATATGGTTACGCAATGCTACGCAAGGGCTGCCAGTGCTATCACTTCCTGAAACACTGTTTGTTCCATTACCTGCAGGCTAGGTAGCCAAGAAAAAAATGCAATTCGACAAGCCTGCACGTATTGCACCTCATGGTCAGGGATGCATTTCCCATTATCATTCTTAACTTATCCAACAACATTTATGTTTCAACATGCTGAGTCAAAACGTCACCACTGCAACAAAAACACACACAGCCTCAATCACATTTCATTTCAGGATTTGCCATGTCACTTACAAGATTGACCTTAGCACATCTACAAAAAATAAGGGTTCCGTTTCTCCTGAACTGACCTGGACTTTTGAAATTTAGCAATTGCAACATCCTAAGTACCTATATAGCCTATATATGTAACTAGAGTAAGAAGACAAGAGTGATGGCTCTACAGCTCACTGGATTGATTAACGTAGGTATACGTACAGCATCGTAGGGCAACATGTTCCACATGGACTGTCTCGAAGTGTCTCAAAACGAAGTCTGCCAGGCTGTGACCACAGAAAATGGGCCATGTGACTCATGTGACTCCAAACTTTGATGAATCCAACGAATCCAACGAATCGGAATCTGGTTTGGAGAATGAAATCACTGCTTTTGGACAAGCACAATGGGTTGCCCGACTGAAGAGATGCGGTCCATGTTGATGAACTTCGACCTGGGCAGTTTTGGAAACAAAACGGAGAGATATGAGAGATGTATAAGTGATCCAATGTGAAAACGAAACAATTTGTCAAAACGTCTTCCATCTAAACGGAAGCACGAATGGAAACAAACCAGTGTTGGATCGTCTATGACATGATGGTCAGGTCTTGCAGGATTAAGAAATCCCAGTGGGGATGAACGACCCGTGCCGACACAACATGAAACTCAGAGCGGTGGTCAAAGCAAGAACTCATTACAAATCATTACAAATCATTACAACATGACATTGGACATGATATCTGCCAGGCGTGTGGCGCTGTGTGTGGCTTCTCTCTTGTCTTCATTCTCTTCTCGTCGACATCTTGGACCACCGTTGCACTGTCGGGCGCCCGGACCAGTCGGTTTTGTCGAAGGCGCTAGGCGCATCAACGGCCGAGCGCTCAGAGAAGAAGAGCGCGCTGAGGTTGTCCGAGGCATAGACCAGCGCCTCGGCGACGTAGCTTGCGTAGCTTGGAACGCCTCATGTCCTACGTACTCATGTGTCTACAAATATTCATGTTCTCGTGCTACAAACTGGATCTCGCCGTCCAGTTGCCCGAAACAAGAACGAGAAAAAAAGAAGCGCTGTGCTGAATCACTACTGAGTCACTGCTGTCCGCAACAGCTCCAGAAACTTACGGCTCAACAAACCCAGCACCAAAGGCCTACAACCACTACCTGCATCATTCCTAAGCGGTTGCCATCGTATTTTCAATGCTGGGCCAGGCGAGTCGTCACCCCATGTCACCCCTGCTTAGCTGGTGGCATTCAGCAACTGAGTATAGTGCAGTATAGGTGTAGGTATTCCACTGTTTTGTGTATAGTACAGTGCAGTGTAGTGCAATATGCTATGTGAAAAAATAGGTGTAGGTATTCCACACATCCTGTGTTTAATCCTGTGTTTCCGGCCGGTTGAACTGGAAGCTGGCCATCATGGAGGGCAGAGTAGGCAGGACTCAAGGCAAGACCAGCAGCTTTCTGAGAAATAGGTTTCAAAAAAACTAATCTTTGAGGTTTTCTCATGTTTTCGCACGGTTTCCTTCGCATATCCTGCGCTACATCTGTGCGTTTACCAATCTTCAGGTTTTGCGGCCGCATGCTGAGGTGATGGCGTCATTGATCTCAACACTTCTTTGTCTTTTTTCCATGTTTCCCAAGCCTGTCACAAGTCACAAACCAAGGCAAAACAGCTTGCGCCAGGCTGGCTGACCCTGACCTCTTTCCAAGATATTTCCAGATATTTACCTCACCCCAAACCTTACACCAATTTTTGCAATCTGGTCACAATACACAGCAATCCTCCGCGGTCTGCATGCCTTGCGAGACTTGAGCCCATCCGCAACTTCACGGTAGAGCGACACGTGGCATACATCGTCTGCAGACACCTCAAGGTGGATAGAGCACAAACCAAATTTAAGTTTGGTCCTCACAAACCCAGTTTGAAGACATTTGAAGACCAATTCAATTAAAAAAACATAACCAAGACAACAAGACGATAAAAGATCAAATATTCTTAAATCCACAGTTTTTGTCCATGGTTCTTGCCCCTGTTACCGGCTGCTTTGTCTCAGCCTCCTGGAAATTGTCTTATGCTGAGGCCTGCTAAAAGATGTAACGAATGGTTTGGCGGTACCTCAACAAATGAGCCAAATCTTCGCCAGTGACCATGCGACAGTCCGGTCTGTCAGGGGCTCACATACCGCGGTTCTAGGGTGTTGAAAAAGGGAAGGTTGCCAAAGGCTTGCTGTTTGGCACGTTGTGCTGCGTCAGAATTCATGCATGTATTCAATCATGATTCAGCCACCCAATCATCCACAATTCCATTCACTCATTCAATTCACTTACGCACCCTATCACTCTGTTATTCTAAACATTCCATTCATCTTGTTTGTACTGTTCATTGGGTGCGGAATGAATGTTTTTTTTGTGTAGAGGCAGCGGTCCTTCATTTTTCATTGGCGTTCATTGATTTTTTCAATGGTGTTCATCCATTTCGAAGGTTCTCATCGATTTCGAAAGTTTTCATCGCTTTCGAAGGTTTTCCATTGCTTTCGAAGGTTTTCATCGATTTCGAAGGTTTTCATCGCTTTCGAAGGTTGTCATCGATTGCGAAGGTTTGATTAATTTCGAAGGTGTTCATTGATTTTTTTGATTGTTTTCATCGATTTGTCCATCGTCTTCATTGTTGTTTCCATTGTGTTCAGGGTTTTTCTATGGACTTCATCGATTTTTCCATAATTTTCAACAATTTCTCCATGGATTTCATCTTGTTTCCATGTTTTTCATTGATTTGTTGATGAATTTCATCCATAAGTTGCGCATGCCAGAGACCTTCCTATAGGCCACTTATTTCTTATAGTCACTGCTCTTTTCCGAAGCTTGGTACACAGAGCCCATGTAGACATGGTATCCCTTTTGTATCCTTTTGCATAAACTCCTCCTTCATGTAAGAGACACCAAATATAACAAAATGCCTTTTTCCGACCTTAATCGCTGCTTTCAGAGAAAGAAATGCTGCCTGCTCTTTGTACTTTCCGTCGTTTTCTGCACTTCATCTTCTCCATCTACTCGGTCCACCCACATCTTTCTACCATCGGGATTTCAGTTTCACGCCGTCTGCATGGTGAAGTCCAGGTGCCGGCCCACCTTGGCTTGCTGCACCTCAGAAATGAGTCAAGCTCTCAGGTTGTTTCCATCGGGTCCCATGTCAGAGGGTGCCTCCTTGAGCATGACTCAGTATAACTCAGTACCCATTCACCCAAAGAATCATTAAACAAATCCAAAGATCCAACGTCTCCCGAATGCAAACACCTGTGGACAGCTCATGTGATGCAAAAGGGCTGTCCCTTTAATGCTGCTGCGACATACGTCTTTGATAAATCTGGCATTTCCAACTCCTGTCCCAGAACGCCCGAGAATGCCCTTGTTGGAGCACCCTGGACATCATGCTGGAGCTGAGAGGGTAGGTTCGGTCGAAGATCATGTCTTCACGGTAGGAACGAAACCTGCCAGGAGCGGCGCCAGCCGCTTCGTTACTACAGGCAGTTGTTTATGTTTGTACGACAAGTGAGTCTGAGATGATCATTTTCATGCAAATTAAACGCACATACCATTATTTACACTCCAGCTGGATGACACTTCAAGCGCTGCTGTTTGAAGATCGTTTTTTTCTTGGTTTCTTGGAAGCCAACAAACATCAACAAACATCAGGACACATCCTCCTTGGTGTGACTAGGGTGCCTCTGCTGGATGCGAGTGATCACGCCTTCCCTGACATCCATGATCTCTTTGGCCTGAGCAAACAAATGTATGTTCAATGAGTATGTGGCATTTACAATCATTTACATATATTTGAAGTTTTTTGAATGTAAGTATCTCTTGCTTAAAGTATTTGAGCAGCGGAAGCATGGAGAAGGCCCTATTTCGTGTTCCTTTCCCTGCCCTGCCCTCGTTTTGTGCCTAATTCCCGAATGCGTAGCGAAGGGTTCTCGTTTTACTTTGGCGGTCTGGGGGAGGAGAAGTGTTCGCTCGAGGCTGCTTTGCCGTTCGCAACCGTTCGCAAGCGTCCGCATCCGTCCACGAGCGTTCACAATGAGGACGCTATGGCATATGCCTGTACAGTACCTATATGGCGACTGCCGCAAAAGGTGCCACTTTTGGTGGTGTGAAACGTCGCACAGCGTAGTTTTGTATGGCAGGCGTGGCACTTTGTGATATTTGCACGTGTCCAATAAAGTGTCAAAAGTTGTTTTGTGTGAAAGGCGCAATACCTTTGTTAGGTTTTCAGAAGATGACTTGCAGTTTTCGTAGGCGCAGAACTCTGGAGACTTCCATGGGTGTTTTGCGTGGCAGGCACAGCCCTTTTTGGACGCGTCGTGTTGCGTGCTTTTTGCGAATCGCATTGGCAGGGCTGCGTCAAGTGGTGACAGCATGCAAATTGCCTGGCAAGCGTGGCACTTTGTGACATGCCTTGAAAGTTGACGAACGCCTCGTTTCGATTTTGAGGTAGCAGATTTTGCGTCTCATGGCAAAAATCGTAAGAAAACGTTGATTTTGTAGCTACATGTAGCTACGACATGTGAAAATTTGAGGAGGTTTGGTACAAAATGCTCACTTTGAGCCTCCTACATGTCACGTCTCGATTATCTTGTTTTGCTGTGGTGTTGACGTGCCTGTGGGGAAAGCTGCAAAACTTCTCTTTTTCGAAGGTTTCAGAGGAGGTTGTAATGTCAACTTTTGCATGGCAGGGGTGGCACTTCCTGACATTGGACGTGACAATCCGACGTGTTTCATAACGTGTCGAAAATCGTTTTTGCGTGACAGGCGCAATACTTTTGAACGGTCTTCTTAAGATGACGTTCATTTCAGGCACAGCACTTTGGACATGTCCATGTTCATTTTTCGTGGCAGGCGCATTACTTTAGATGTGTGGTGTTGCGTTTTTTTTGCGAGGGCTGCGTTAAGCGGTGACAACATGCAAATTTCATGGCAAGCGTGGTACATCGTGAGAATGCTCTTTTTCGTGGCAGGCGCAGCATTTAGTGACGTTCCGCAGCACTTTTTGTAGCAGGCACAATATTTGGCATTTGGCGACGCAGCAACTCGCCATTGCAGACTTGACCCTCCACATTCTATATTCCATGCTCCCTAATCCCACTCCCCACTCCACACTCCACGCCTTACACTCTACACTTTACACTCCAGACTCCTCAATCCCCACTTTACACTCTACACTCGACACTCTACACTCCACATGTCACACTTCACACTTCACACTCCACAGACTGCCCCCGCAAAAACAAGTCACACTCCACACTACTCACTTCAGACTCCACACTCTACACTCCACAACTCACACTCCATACTCCTCACATTCCACACTTTACACTCCACACTCCACAATCCCCAGTTTACACTTTACACTCTACAGTCCCCACTCCCCACTCCGCACTCCTCACTCCGCACTTCAGACTCCAAACTCTACACTCCACATACACTCCCCAATCACCACTCCACACTCTACACTCCACACCTTATACACCTTGCACACTCTCTATTCCACAATCCGGACTCCACACTCTACACTTCACGCTCCATACCTTACACTCTACACTTTGCACTCCACACATCTCCACACCCCACACTCTACACTCCACACTCTACATTTTACACTTTGCACTCCACACTCATCCGCATTCAACACACCACACATGACGCTCCAGACTCCACTCTTCACACCCTACTCACGTCACTCCCCACTCAACACTCCTCTGGTTTTTACTCTACACTTCACACTTCACACTCCACACTCTGCATTCCCCGGACTCCACACTCCACCGTCTATAATGGTACGGTAACACTGGAAGAATGTACAAGACTGTTGAAGTCTGCTTTTTCAATGGAAAACGTTTTCACTGTTTCACCTGATTCGTTTTTCCATGAGGAAAACTTCTTCTCATGTTTCTCTTTCTGCGGTGGGAAATTCCGAATTTATGTTCCGTCCCACGGCCCGCTCCGCTCCTTCTGCTTCCCGAGTTTGGTCAACTTCTCCGACATGAAACGTGCCGCCCAGAGCTGCTGCTCCTTCTGCCGCTTCGTCACCTCCTCACGTTTCCTGGCGCGCACGGCACACAGGGTGCACACACGTCGAAAAAAAGCGATTTAGAAAGCTGCTGAAAGCCGTTGTCTTTCGACGTGCCGTTAACCAAAAGCTTAAAACTGATGTTCTTTCACGCTGTTTCTTGCTATTTATATGTTTCTTTCTGTCATGTTAAAGAGATTAAACATCTTCCCGGTTACCAAAAAAATGACCAACATGTCGAATATGCGTCACTATGTATGAGTCAATGTTGAAATAAGATGAAATAAGGACAAGCGTTGGCTGATTTGGCAATCGCAACATGTATGCGTCAGCTCTTGTCTCTCTGCAAATCTCTCTGTGATTGCCGCAGACCGCGGAATCAAACTTGGCTGAGGCTGCTTGTAGACCAGTTTAAACTTCATCCATCCCCGGCTGATATCAACCTTGAGCCGCGTCGGCTTTCAATGACTTTCTGTGGGATAGGAATTTGTAAACTACGTAAATCTTTCAGCCGAAAAAAAAAAAACGATTCCCATTCCTTCGTCAATTTCAGTTTGAGAAACACCACGGAAAAACCAAGCCAGATGAGTTCTGCAGATTGCATCAAAACCAAGCCAGTGGAATCCCTGGAAACCCCTCTGGCCGCCTTCATTGAAGCGTCTGAAACACTGTATGACATGTCACACATGTCACAATATTGCCAAACACTGTCACGCATGGCCATGTCAATCCACATGTCGAACCTTCATCAACCGCATGGCCATATTCTTCACCAAAGCTTTTGTCTTGGAATATTCACCTCGAGGCAGGCTCCCGACGCAACGGGTTGTTTGAGGGTACAATCCAGGAATCTTCAGAGAGAAAACGGTACCAGAACCGTATCGCCAAACGTGAATTTTCAACCATTCAAGTTGCCCAAACAAATGCATAGGGATTGCAAGAACAGGGAGCGTTTCTACCGAATTCCAAGTGTGGAGTTCTAAACACCACTTGACAGACTGAAATGTGTTGGATTGTTTGCGTTTGCTCCGTTACAACATGATTCAAGTGGTGATTTCACAGACATTTCCAAGATCTTGCTGGCTGAACTCCAATGACAAGTTGTGCTAAAATTGAACGTGACATGGTCCAAAGAATTCAGCAGCGTCAAAATTCAACAAACACGAAAGCAGCACACAGTGCCCGGATGTTTCGACTAATTCCAACTTGCTCTGCTCTCTGAGGTTCTTGGCCATAATAGGTGGACAAAGCGTCCCAAGCTTTCTGCAAGGCGCCCGAAACAGCGCGTCCAATGGACCTGCTTCACAAGAACGTGGCCTTGTAACAAATCAAATATGAAAACCAAGCTTTTTTAACCGGAAAATATGGAACAAAATTGTTAAGAAGTCACAATAATCATAATTGTACAGGACGTTAGATCGAGATGGAGGAGGCAAAACCTAGCTTGCTCCAAGGGAACTGGTGTAGAATGACGAGGGACACAGCACCACCCGAGGAATGGAAACACTCCAGGCGAATGCCATAATCATAAACCAAAAGACCCAAGCATGCCGTATGCCAAACATGGGACTTCCATGCCATTCACACAATGTTCTCTACGATTCTCTGCCTTGCAAAAACAAAATTACGCCAGAGACCCCAAATAGAAAAAGGTGTTCGCGGGCAGCACTCAAACGCTTTTTCTAAAGCAGCACCCTACGACGGCACCCTGCAGCAAAGCGCACACAGCATTCTGACAGCAGCACTTGCAGCGGCACCCTGCAAGCACCCTGAAGTAAGAACCCCAATAGCTCCGCTATCTGGGGAAAATTGCATAGAATGTCCACTATCCATCACTATCCCAAATATCAGTAAATATCCCAGTAAAATGCTGCGATTTTGCGCGTCAAGGTGAGAAAGCTGAGGTCAATGCACTTGTTCCACCCTAATAGCTTCCTTCCATGCAAGCCGTGTCTTGAGCAAGACTGACACAACACTCTTAAAACGACAAAGAACAAACACGCTGAGCGGGGTTCACAAACTGTATCAACTCCCGCACACGCCTAAAGCACTCATGACTCATTTGTTCACTAGCCGCAGCTACCACTTGCATATCTTGCATACTAGCTCTTCCCCAAAACAATGTACGGAGTAACATGGATTTTGGATGTGCCTTTTGCATTTTTTTTCTCTGCGCACTGGGAGCGCTGAGAGAGCTGGGATGCCGGTTCCTGTTTTCTATTGTTTGCTTTCTCTGTGTGCCACAGCAAGACTGCACCAGGGATACAGCGACAAGCAGAACACAATCCTTATCCAATATGTGCAAGAATGTCTGACCAGAGAATCATTTCTGTGCTCATATGTAAATCCAGCTACTGTATTGGAGACTTGCTGGTGCTCATTGTTTGAGCTACAAATCTATTCCAAGGGCCCGACACTTTCAGCGCCCTGCGGTCGTTCTCAGAGACAAGAACCTGAGCAGAGAACCGAAAAATACTCGCAACATTTCGCAACATTTCGCATTGTTAGACATTGGACTCATTGAACTGAATTTACTTGCATGAGAAGATTGAAAACATTAGCATATATTAGCATCAAAGGCAATGAGGTCTGCGTAGCATCAAATTTTGTGCACTTTGCATTCATTTGCAAAACCATTTGGTCTGTCATATGACATTCGGTCTGTCAATGATTTGGTCATCTTTCGTCATCGACAGCTGCGCTCTGAACACCACGCGTCAAAACCTGCCCCGTGCCGCCCATGCCGACGCCGCCGGTGTTGCCCGCGCCTTTGCCAATGTAAAGGCACGCTTCCATCGGTGGATCTTGGCATCATCTTTCGAATACAAGAACAACCTCAGATCTGTCATGGCATTGGCAAATCTGATATTAGCAATACAGAATGATATTACTGTTGGTGTTCGCCTACAGCAATGGTAGCAGGATTGAAAGGCCTCAAAGAGCTGAAGAACTGGTTACAAGTTACAACAGCAAAACGCTAGAGTTCAAGTCTCGTGAATTCCTACATCTTGCAACTGTAGTGTTTCAACAAAAAAAATTAAAGGACCGGATAACCCCACAAGTCAATTTCTTCCAATACTGAGTTTCAAAGGTTGTAGCGGGGACGGGAAGGGAAGGAAACACAAAGGAGGTGGTGAAAGACTGTGTGTGACAAAGCAAGAAAGTATGTGAAAAGATAGTATGCATGTACGTACGTACGTACGTACGTGCGTACGTATGTATGTATGTGTGTACGTATGTATGTATGTATGTATGTATGTATGTGTGTATGTATGTATGTATGTATGTATGTATGTATGTATGTATGTGTGTACGTATGTACGTATGTACGTATGTACGTATGTACGTATGTACGTATGTACGTATGTACGTACGTACGTACGTATGTATGTATGTATGTATGTGTGTGTGTATGTATGTATGTATGTATGTATGTATGTATGTATGTACGTATGTATGTATGTATGTACGTATGTACGTATGTACGTACGTACGTATGTATGTATGTACGTACGTACGTATGTATGTATGTATGTATGTGTGTATGTATGTATGTATGTATGTATGTATGTATGTATGTACGTATGTATGTGTGTACGTACGTATGTATGTATGTATGTATGTATGTATGTATGTGTGTCTGTATGTATGTATGTATGTATGTATCTATGTATGTATGTATCTATGTATGTATGTATCTATGTGTGTATGTATGTATGTATGTATGTATGTATGTATGTGTGTGCGTGTGACAAAGTTGCGTGTGAAAGATGGTGCGTGTGTGTGAAGGTGACGTGAGTGCGCGACAGCGCAGACATTTTTTTGCCAGGGCTGCAATGAATGTCATCTGCTCTGCGTGCGGCAGCACTGCGGACATGGAATGGGCTGAATGAGGTGTTCCATGATCTTCTGTGCTCCATGTGGTGCAACGAGATGTGCTGCGTGACAGCCGCGCCTGTCCTACAGCCACGAATCCGACGATGATGACATAGAGGAAAGGTACCTGGCCGCAAAAGTGTAGAACACGAATGTAGCTGGTTGTCAATGCAACTATGGAAGACAAGTACATAGCGCATGCCTGTCAAGTCACGACACAGTCACAGTGGCAAGCACCATGGTTATGACGCTAACTGTGCAGTTTTTCCAAATATGTCAACCAATCACAAATTTCAGAAACACACGGGCGTCACGGACATTCAAATAGGTGTCGGTTCGCGATGCATCTGCATACGCTTCTTCCCACATTGGGTCAAAGCTCTTGCTCCCGAGGACATAGACTCGTTGACTCATTGTCGGGCCGTGCGACACGCGCCTGTCCTCCGTCCAAGAAGCTCACTGGCTGGGCACCTGAGCCAGTAGCAAACACACAGAGGCTTCATGCGTGCTATCTTGTTACTACATGACAGCGGCAACCAATGAAATCTTACTAGTTCCACCATATTGGATATATTAAGCAATGAATTGCCGTGTAGGGTTCTCAACTTAGCACGCATGCTATCTTGTCACAATATGAACCCAAAGAACCAACCTATTCTTCATAGTTTAACCACACTAGATATCTTATTGATCAACCGTATAGATGCTCTCGAATTAATGTCCTAGGTTCCCCGCTTCTCGTTTCACAATGGAAGCAACACACCACGGGGAATGTCAAACGGAAAGAAAGGACGGCACGCAGACGCAGATGCAAAGGCAAGACATTCTCGTTGGTAACTGTGCACCTGTAATGTGACAATTGGTAAGAAGCTAATTGTTTTCCGACAAACAAACCGAAGCTGCTCCGCACTCATTGCGGACGAAGAAATGTTTCTTTCCGGACCAGAAATGGTTCTTCACACATTGTGTCAAACCATTTGTTTCATCATTTTCAGAAACACACACAACCACTTTTGCTACAGCATCAAACGGTTCTTCGCACATTGCGTCAAACCATTTCATGATATGTACAGAAAGATATGTATCATAATTACAGAAACATTTCTTCTCCCGTGGCCTGCTGTCACGACGTCTTCTCGCGATGCTGTTCAGACGGAGATTCCGTTGGAGCAGTGGACATAGGCAATGACCCCGCGCTTGTGGCCACCGCTGATGCCTTCGACATGGGTGCGCCTCCACATCGTTGGGGTCGCAGTTGCGCGAAGTTCGCGGTTCCAGCTCGCTCAAGCGGCATTCTTTCATCAGAAGCTGACCCGCCATGCCTTGCGATGGGCGGTGGTGGTAGTTGCCTGAAACGGTCTTGTACATCTGGTGAGGTTACACGAAGGGTGGGCCCTGAGGAAAACGCCAATCTTGGCGACCGGTCTCTGGATTCACGGCGCGCAGCAGGTGCCATGGCTACCGTAGTGTGTACGTCCAAGAACCGTGCCACATCTTCCCTTTCTTCTCGATTGGCTCCAGTCAAGTTGATCTCCACAAGCGAGCCGTCGCTCATTGTCACACTGATGAGATCAGGAAGGCGATTCCGCCTGTTGCTCGGCTCCTGCAATCTTCCACGTTCTTCTCGGTCTCGCGACGTTGCCATCGCTGCAGAAGCTTGTCAACAACGGACTAACTAAAGCCTAACACTAACATTTAAGCGTGAATCTTCCAAAGCTTCCGATCCAGAAACTTCACTGGGCCGCCGTGCCACACTAGGTACCTCCGCCTGCAGCAAACGGACAGAAGTTTGCAATATTTCATTTCAAACAGGCCAGACACAAACAGTTCAAATCACATTTCAGACAGGCATCAATCAACTTTCGTCTGCAACATAACACAGTTTGTGGTGCATTCCCTCGTCTGCGAACAAACATCAATCAACAATGTGAAGCCTCGGAGTGCTGACATCAGGCAGCATCTTCTTGCGACACAGTCACAGTTTCTTCATCTTATGACGCTACCTGTGCAGTCTTTTCCCAAATATGTCGACCGCACGCAGTGTGACTGAGATTGGGCTCTTTGCACGTTGCGCCAAGCCATTCCGGATCACTGTGCGTTTCATCGTCATCTGCTTGGCATGTCTTTCCACATTGAGTCAACAATGCCGGCAGCCAAAACAGCAGATAAGAAAGCTTGCGTACAGACTTTATACGCTAGCATGCTGAATAGCATCGCAGATTTCCACGAAAGCCGGCTTATTCCATGGACAGACTTTGCCGTCTTCCACCACAGGCACACAAAGATAAACTGGATCATACAGCAACTTGGCACGTAAAGTCCGTCTCTGGCCATCCGAAGACACGAGCACGTGAAGGTAATAGGTTGACGTAGACTTGTCAGCACGAAATTCGGACAGCGTCCGCTTTCCCAGCTTCACGTTGCGTTGCAGCATCTCGCAGAAACGTTGCCTGAGGCGATTGGCTAACGGACTGTCTGGGCACCGAAGGTCAACGTCTCTCAGTTGAACCTGATCCAAATTTCGTAGCATGAGAGTCTGAAGCTCGCAGAAGTCGTACAGCGGACTGGTGCTAGGTTGCGGTCTGTAAGCCGCAGAGGTGGCAGCAGCCTTATCGATGACCACAAATGTTCACTGGGGGCGGATAGTTGCTGGTCAGGTCCATGCGAAGGAACCAACTGGCTGAGTCTTGGCCGCGGGAACACCACCATGTCCTTGTCGGAGAGGTGAAAACTCATTGTCATGTCATGTCTGCATGCAAAAAACTGCACGCCATTGTCATGTCATGTCTGCGCTGCACAGCGTTGCTCAAGCGCAGTTTGGCCCTGCCTCTCGTAGCGACCACAAGCAAGACCAGCACCTGGCCGCAATTGTGTGTGGAATGCAACATGCCAGAAAAATCAAACATGCCGAAAGAAGCCGACAGAAGAAACATGCCGGAACATACAGCGTGGCGACGACGAAGGTAGGTAAACATGTTACATGGCCCTGCCTGCCGTAGCGACCACAAAGACGAAGACAAGTACCTGGCCGCAAATGTGAATGGAAATGAAACAAGCCGACAGAAGAAAGTTGCTGAACATGCGAGAAAATCAAACATGCCGAAACAAGCGGAAAGAAGAAACATGCCGGAAGATAAACATGCAGCAAACATGTCGGTAAATACAACATGCCGGAGCGACCATAAAACATGCCGCAACAGGACATGCGTAAACAAGCCAGCAGAAGAAACGAAACCAAGCAGAAAACATGTCGGAAAATAAAACATGCCGGAGCGACCATAAAACATGCCGGAACATGACATGCGTAAACAGGCCAGTAGAACAAACGAGGCGAAGAAGAAAACATGTCGGAAAAGACAACATGCCGGAGCGACCATAAAACATGCCGGAACATGACATGCGTAAACAGGCCAGGAAAACAAACGAAACGAAGCAGAAAACATGTCGGAAAATACAACATGCCGGAGCGACCATAAAACATGCCGGAAATACGCTGCTCCGGTCGTTTCTTTCCACGTTGGGCCAAAACGACCAGAGCAGCGAGAGATGATCCGATAACCACATCTTTGACTGCGCTAGGCTTCACAAAACGTGTGCAAATAACAAAAATCGAATTTGAAATCGAACTTGACTGACTATGTCATTGATTCGGTATGCGTGCTAGAGCTGTTGTCCACGACTTCTAGTTGAGCCAAAGCGACCAAAATAGAACGACATGATGAGAGTCTGTCATGTCTGCGCTGCACAGCGTTGCTCCAGCGCAGTTGGGCCCTGCCTGTCGTAGCGACCACAAGCAAGACCAGCACCTGGCCGCAACTGTGCGTGGAATGCAGCAGGCCGAAAGAAGAAAGTACTTAAACATGCCAGAAAATCAAACATGCCGAAACAAACCGACAGAAGAAACATGCCGGAACATAAACATGCCGGAGCGACCATAAAACATGCCGCAACAGGACATGCGTAAACAAGCCAGAAGATGAAACGAAGCGAAGCAGAAAACATGTCGGAAAATAAAACATGCCGGAGCGACCAAAGCAGCAAACATCATCGGATGATAAGGTGATAGGTTGCACAATGCAAATGCTAATTCCACTTGAGTAACTCTCCTAGAAATCAATTCGTGCTTGGGCCAACATGATCGGAAAGCATAAGAGATGTTACAGATGGTGTGTGACAAAAGAGTGTGTGAAAGAGGGTGTGTGAAAGATGGTGTGTGACAAAGTTGTGTGTGAAAGTTGTGTGTGAAAGAAGGTGTGTGAAAGATGCTGGTTGACAGAGTTGTGTATGAAAGTTGTGTGTGGCAAAGTTGTGTTGTGTGTGACAAAGTTGTGTTGTGTGTGACATGTGGGCGGCGGGAGGAAGAGGAGGACGAGGAGTGTCTAACAAAGTTGAAAGATGGTGTGTGACAAGGTGTGAAAGAGTGCCACGCCTGCCACGCAAAACGACACGTGAAATCAAGGTGGATGTCACCAAGTGCCACGCCTGCCACGCAAAAGTGCCGCGGCGTCACGCGCGACCAAGCGGGCCCAAGCGCGCCACCCAGTGCCATGAGTGCCACGCCTGCCACGCAAAACGACCGTGGATGTGAGATTGCGCCACGCCTGCCACGCGAAATCAAGGTGGATGTCACCAAGTGCCACGCCTGCCACGCAAAGTGCCGCGGCGTCACGCGCGACCAAGCGGGCCCAAGCGCGCCACCCAGTGCCATGAGTGCCACGCCTGCCACGCAAAACGACCGTGGATGCCTGCCACGCAAAAGTGCCGCGGCGTCCCGCGCGACCAAGCGAGCCCAAGCGCGCCACCCAGGGCCATGAGTGCCACGCCTGCCACGCAAAACGACCGTGGATGTGAGATTGCGCCACGCCTGCCACGTGAAATCAAGGTGGATGTCACCAAGCGCCACGCCTGCCACGCAAAAGTGCCGCGGCGTCACTCGCGACCAAGCGAGCCCAAGCGCGCCACCCAGGGCCATGAGTGCCACGCCTGCCATGCAAAACGACCGTGGATGTGAGATTGTGCCACGCCTGCCACGTGAAATCAAGATGGATGTCACCAAGTGCCACGCCTGCCACGCAAAGTTGTATGTGAAAGATGGTGTGTGACAAAGTTGTATGTGAAAGAATGGTGTGTGACAAAGTTGTGTGTGAAAGATGGTGTGTGACAAAGTTGTGTGTGAAAGATGGTGTGTGACACAGTTGTGTGTGTGAAAGATGGTGTGTGACAAAGTTGTATGTGAAAGATGGTGTGTGTGTGAAAGATGGTGTGTGACAAAGTTGTATGTGAAAGATGGTGTATGACAAAGTTGTATGTGAAAGATGGTGTGTGTGAAAGATGGTGTGTGAAAAGATGGTGTGCGACAACGTTGTGTGTGAAAGATGGTGTGTGAAAAGATGGTGTGTGACAAAGTTGTGTGTGAAAGATGGTGTGTGACAAAGTTGTGTGTGAAAGATGGTGTGTGACAAAGTTGTATGTGAAAGATGGTGTGTGACAATGTTGTATGTGAAAGATGGTGTGTGACAAAGTTGTACGTGAAAGATGGTGTGTGACAAAGTTGTGTGTGAAAGATGGGGAGGCGGCGGCGGGAGGCGGAGGCGGGGAAGCGACCCGGGATACAGAATCAAAAACAAGAACCCCACACAAAGTTGTGGGGAACAAGCAAGGCTATCTGCACTGCACTGTTTTCTGCTGAAAAACAGCTCAACCTCAACTTCTATCAACCTTAGTGACCTTACTTTGCTGTGTTGTTTCCGCTGTGACTGTCTGGGCCCCGCTCGGCGACTTTCTCTGTTTCTCTCTTTCGCCGCAAATGACGCGGAGCCGCTTGCTGTATCCTTTCAACACACAGCGAAGAGGATAAGTTGCAATTCGACTTTGCGGCCTTGCGTTGTGTTTGAAAATGTGTCTTGTCGCCCACACAGCCATATTGAGGCGAGACAGCAGGCGTGGTGATGTCACACGTTGAAAGTTAGATCAGGCGGGGAGCCGTCCAGTCTCCTCCAATTTCCACCAGTTAGATTGGGACCCGCTTATGCCCATCAACCACCCAGCCTAACCTTATGAAAATCAGATTGTTTTTCTAGGAATAACATCATTTGTTGTAAAGTATGTGGTTGTTGATCAAAATTCCTCTATCCGGGAACGGCCATTCTTCGCGAATAATTTTTTTCGCAAATCTTTCGCGAACTCCATGTTTATCTTTCGCGGAACGCATGTTGAGCAACAACTCCTCTTATGAAGATTCATTCATCACCTGCCAAATCACACAAAATTATCACGGATAACTTCTTCACAGCCTTGTAAACATGCAGCTAGCATCACGGAATCCCCTTCTCAGGACAAGTTGTTGCTGATTAGGCGATTTTTGGAAGGCTTACTGGGCCACTCCTTTCAAAATGCACCTTGGCTTTCGCCCATTCTTTCGCGGAACTTTCGCGAAAATATCCCTATCCGCAGACCCCAGCCATCAGCATGGGGCGCATCAGAGGAAAAGCAAACACCAGGGGCCTTGGTGCTTGGCTCTCGCAAAGCTTCACTTTTGGAAGCTTGGCTGCTGCATTTGGAGCTTGTTTCTTGAGACTTCAGAAAGCAACGTTAGGCAGTACCAGCGGCAGGTGCAAGGAGGTGCTTCAAGACCATGGTATTTGGCTCACCTTCGGAAGCTTGGCTGCTACCTATGGAGCAGTGCCATTCTCCTGCCGGACCCCGGGCGGCAGGAGGTGGTAGCCCTTAACAAGCTGTAATGTATACAATGAATTCATAATTTCCAACTATCGCGACACTTTCGCGAAATATCTTTTTCTTTCGCGAACTCGAAAAAAAACTTCGCGAGGGTTTCCAGCATAACATGCACGGCTTTCGCAATTAAAACTCCTTACACGGACCTTTAGATCTATTACCATGTACTCAAAGAAATGATCTGCTTTTATGTACTTATATATACCGGTATGGCCTCGCCTATATCCTCTCTTCTGCCCTTATATCTAACCATTTGCCCACAAAATTTCTGGGTATATGGTTAGGTTGGGTGGTTGACGGGCATAAGCAAGGCCTAATCCAACTCCACCTTCTTTGAATACCAAATATTTTGGATTGATATGTCGGGTGATTTCGGAAATCCTCTTGCTCAACCCACTGTTTCCACCGTGCCTTCCATCCATTTGGGCAAAGATGCGGAGTTTCTATCTTCGTAAAAACAGGTGGCATCCTTTAGCTCGTACATTGCCTCGCAAGCAACATCCTGAGGATGCTGAAATTTGATACAGAAAATCGTGCAATGTACCAAGATGTCATGCTGTGCATTGTTTCAAAAAAGTTCTGAACGAGACGTTGTGACGAAGTGACGTAGTGACGTAGTGATTGCGTCATGTTTTTCATTCAGCCAAAGGGATGGCAAATTTTCGGTTGCCACATGCGGGCGCAGTGCAATGCCTTGACCTTGGCATTGGGGTGGTGGTCTCTATAAACCAGCAGCTGCCCATTGTCCAAGATGAAGCTCCGTTCCACCCTGGCTACGGCACCAATGTCTGACAATGTGTGAACTGGCAACGGCACCGTGCCAACGGCATTGCACCGGTTTTTACAACAGCTAAAACGACGCCTGCTAACCCCGAAAACAGCATCTGCCTCGAACAGCAGGGGCGCGTTCTGGAAATCTTCATCAAAGTCTCTCCTTAGTCATGTAATCATGTATCATGTATCTTCAAACTATTCCAGATCACCATGGCGACTTGACATCATGTGGCACCTTTCCCCAATCAAACATTCAGTTTCCTATCCCGTGCTCTGGAACTAGACCAAAGTTCCAATGACTGCACCGCTCAAATACAGCAGCTTGCACCCCTGCCTTGACCTTCCAACTACCTGTTCTGTCTGCCTCCATCGCATAAATCATACCGATTGGGTAAGCCCAGATTCTTTTGTGATCGCCCCGTTTAGTGCGTTGGGTTTTGGATCTGGTACACTGGCCCTTCGCCAAGGTTCTTTTCCTGTCTCCTCGGTGTTGCGTTACATTTTGTAGTTTCTTTTTCTTCGTGCCTGCCACACATGGAGACACCACCGAAGGCAAAAGCAAGTTTTTTC